ACCTTCGTCTTAGCTGGATTACACCACACTAAGTCCACTTTATCATCCAAACATGGCACAGACGTTCTTCCCTCCGGTCATCCAGAGTGATCATACGCACAAAATGGTAATAGCTTATCATTTTCCGATTACAAGCAGTCACAGCTAGCACTTAATGGCCGTTTTTTAACTATGCACCATTCGTTTTCTGAAGTTGACAATGGTGACTCGGCGACTGGTGATCCTTAACCCTACTTTCCTGTTAGGTTGATGCAGTAGATCTCAGTTAAGCTACGAATCGTATCGATTATCTGAAATCTGTTGCTTGTCCGCCTTTTACTTGCCTACTGTCACTGCTCATATTAACCTCTCTTTCTGCACAAAGGACCCTATTTCATGATGCTTTGGTGAGCCAAAAACTACCGCTTGTTCTCAACTAGTCCAACAGCTAGCTTCTTGCTAGCTACCTCAACAACAAAGTCCTAACCTTCCTAAAACTAGACACCTACTCTGGCCAAACTAATACTTGACTTCGAGATCAGCAAACGTATTCACCATTCCTGGGTCCATTTAGGTTGCTTTCATCCTCTTTTAGATTTTTTCATTGAAACCGTTGTATCTTATGCCTCCAGACACTCGCCACACGCTTTCTTTCATTCTATTTCTTTATAGTTGCCCCTCTTCCCAAGCTTCAAACCTCGACTTCAGTTCCCCAAACGCCCCATAAAACTGGTACTCATTCAACCTGGCTTGTCCCCGGTCTACACTTACACAGCCCTACAACGGAAAGGAAATTTTCCGTGAGCTTGCATCCGCTTGACCCTTTGTGTCAATCTCCGTCTCACCAAGAACCAACTGCGTATCCCCGGATAAAATGTCTGGTAGCTGGAGGCATTTATTATTGCACAAATCGCAACTGGCTGCTTGGTGGCTTGTCATCCTTACAGATCTGGTAGCATGTACGAGGGATGAAAATTTCGTGTGGTGGACAGGTACGCTTTTCAGGGAGGATCGCCTTGCTACGTTGCACCGTGGTGCGTTCATATACGCTCTGCCTCTCCAGGGCACGAGTGTATCGCCCATCGCCGGTGGTTCCGAGCCTGGCCTTTAATACTACAAAACAAAAAGGAGTAACATTGCTGTTTGTCTGTAGCTAGATTGGACTTGTTCGGGTTGTAACTTGTCTAGCAACACCTAGAAATATAAGCGAAGAGCTTTCCTTCCGTTTGTCTTAAAAACATATGCATGAAGTAGCCTGAGGGTACCGTGTGAAGCTCACGGCTAATGTCAACGTGCAAGGAGCTTCTACCTTCGTCTTAGCTGGATTACACCACACTAAGTCCACTTTATCATCCAAACATGGCACAGACGTTCTTCCCTCCGGTCATCCAGAGTGATCATACGCACAAAATGGTAATAGCTTATCATTTTCCGATTACAAGCAGTCACAGCTAGCACTTAATGGCCGTTTTTTAACTATGCACCATTCGTTTTCTGAAGTTGACAATGGTGACTCGGCGACTGGTGATCCTTAACCCTACTTTCCTGTTAGGTTGATGCAGTAGATCTCAGTTAAGCTACGAATCGTATCGATTATCTGAAATCTGTTGCTTGTCCGCCTTTTACTTGCCTACTGTCACTGCTCATATTAACCTCTCTTTCTGCACAAAGGACCCTATTTCATGATGCTTTGGTGAGCCAAAAACTACCGCTTGTTCTCAACTAGTCCAACAGCTAGCTTCTTGCTAGCTACCTCAACAACAAAGTCCTAACCTTCCTAAAACTAGACACCTACTCTGGCCAAACTAATACTTGACTTCGAGATCAGCAAACGTATTCACCATTCCTGGGTCCATTTAGGTTGCTTTCATCCTCTTTTAGATTTTTTCATTGAAACCGTTGTATCTTATGCCTCCAGACACTCGCCACACGCTTTCTTTCATTCTATTTCTTTATAGTTGCCCCTCTTCCCAAGCTTCAAACCTCGACTTCAGTTCCCCAAACGCCCCATAAAACTGGTACTCATTCAACCTGGCTTGTCCCCGGTCTACACTTACACAGCCCTACAACGGAAAGGAAATTTTCCGTGAGCTTGCATCCGCTTGACCCTTTGTGTCAATCTCCGTCTCACCAAGAACCAACTGCGTATCCCTTCTCCGATCGCGGCAAACTTGATCTCTGCTACCGGGCTGCCCATAGACCGAAGCATGTCAGTGCAATGATGGGATTTCACTATTGTTATCCGTGCGATGTCACTCCTGCAACCGTTTTCTTCATAATCTTGACCGCAACCCCTCGCTAACTGAAGTCTGTGGTCGCAACTACGAATAAATATTTCATCCAACTCCTACTCTGGGACGAGCTCTTTCACACCTCATTAATATTTGATCAAATTTAGCTAGCCTGATTTCCCGCTACAACTTCGGCTAACCTCTTCCACAACTTTGCTCATGCCAGACGGTATGCCACCCACAAGTTGGGAATAAACATTATTATTACTATTATTATTATTCCCGTCCTTTTGTAACAGGTGTCCACTACACAAACTCCAAGGATTGACCGTGGCTCGCAGCTCTGTGTTTTGTGCTAATCTGCCAATACCTTTCATGGTGAGCCTTGTTCCTTTTGAAGGCAATTAATTGCACATCATGCGTATACGCCAGAAGTCTCAACGAACTCAGAGCAATGTCTCGTCTACTATATCAATGCACACGGAACGTCATTAACCAATCTGTAGTTCCTTTCAATTAGACAGTCCAGTTACGTTCCTCTGAAAGTGTCCCTCTCCACTTTTCATCTAGTTCAAGGCAATTTTTTCAGGGTATATAATTTTTGCCAATCGCATGCAAAATATCACCGCCCTTGGCCTCTCAGGGGCGTGATAATTAATCCCATGTATCATTAGAAACAAAAGGCTTCAGCATCCTCACATTAATCCTTCTTTCTGGGCAGCCAGTACTCTGGAGTGTGACGGGCAATTTCTTAAACAGACCGATCTCACATTAGTATAGATAATTCCGTTAGCATCGGTTTCCTTGGAAAAATTCCGCCCTAGATGATGGATAACAAGAAATTTACAAGGTTACACATTCGGTAATCCCCTTTTTACCCGGAGAGTTTGTACGGTGCCTGGGCACTTTCCCTAAATAAACAAACAAAATATGGGTTTCTATCCACATTGCTTCGCGGTTTCAAACAAAAGGCCTTTATGCACCCTCCTTGATTAAGTTGGCTGTCCCGTTCAGTTCCTCCATTAAGCATTGAATTATTGGCGCTGGTTATCTATATCGCTAGTCACACCCCATTCAGTAATATATATATGGGCTCAAATCAATGTGCCTATTGTGCCCATTACCAATGATTCTCAAATTTGTGGCGTTTGTAATAAGTGATGGCTGGTCCTATGAATACGCCGACAATCGGGGTGTTTTAATTTGTTTTAGGTTTTCCAAGCTTCCAAATCAGAATCAAACGTATAACCTTCATGCACGGATTCACGGGTTGATACACAGGATCGAGGGTTTTGCCCAACATCCCGGGTTGATTTTGTGCCTGCCGTTCAGTGGCTTTCATTCGCCCGATAGGCACAAGTGAAAAAACGGTGTGGCACTGCTCTTTATGTCCTCAACGTTGGGCGGTATGCCTTCGAAAATTCGCATTAATAAATGCCCAATAGCGTTTTCAACCCGGTTCAAGAAGGCTCGTTGATAACCATCGCAGGCGTTTTCTTCCACTCAGCTACTAGTTAAAATCAGAAAAAATTACCGAATGAATGTGTGCGCTCCAAGCTTAAGAATCTTCCAATGTCCCGCCGTGTGTTTGTGGAGTCAGTGGCGAAAAAGTTGTGTTTAAACAGGGCATAAGTAAGATTTAGGTCCCCGCGGAGGCGACGATGCATCAGAAGAAAGAGGCTAAGAACCGCGAGACTCGTTTTGCATTTCCTGAATTTGAGGTGGGTAATCATTTTCGTGGCAGCTCGTTGAACACACTCATTGAGCTTTGCGTCTTTCGTGCGCCCTGAGTGGACAACTTGTTTGGCGTATTCCAGGAGCGGTCCGACGTAGGCCCCAAAGATTGTTTGAAAATCCATGCAAGTAATACGAAAGAAGGTGCGCCGAACCATCCGTAAAATGGCGAATGCCTTTTGGGCCGATTTATCACGGTGCTGTTAGACGGACAAGTCTGAGCAAACCCAGATACCTAAATCCATTGTAGTCTATCCTCATGACGTCTTCTTGTCCATTCTCACTATGCATGACAAAGGCATTCACCGACCCGCGTGTGTGTACCTTCATCTTCTTGCTCGTAAACTACCTCATAATGGAAGCTAAGATGTACTGGGCTGCCTATTCTTCTGACCTTATCTAACCATCAAAAGTTCATCTCGATCTACGTTCGTTTAGTTCACCGTCTTCTCTCATCTGTTTAATTCAAATCTAGTTCATTGTGACGTACCGAAATTTAAAGCATGTCGTTCTTTGGTGCATGTAAAAAGCGCAGTTTAAGCAACGAAACCAAGATTATCCCTTTTTGTTTGAAGAAAACGATAAGGGCAGATTAAATAACCATATTTGGTTGTTGGTTTTTTCGCCGAGCTCGGCAGTCGGATTGCAAACGTTTCATCACCAATCGATGTGACATCGTCAGTGCACTCAACCCTGTACTGATGACGTCACCTCGATTGGCGATGAAACGTTTGCAATCAAACTTCCAAGCTCGGCGAGAAAAAAAAACCAACAACCAAACAGCGCACCCGAGCTACCTACATTCCTTAACATTGCCTGAATCACCATATCACAAACGGCCCACAAAGAAACGATGATTTGATTATTTCTGGTTATTCCAGGGAGTCAACTGTAGCTGGAATTCGGAAATTCTATTGATTTACCCCAAGCACGCTCCTCACTGCGCCGGATTTTCATCTGGATTCATACTGTGTTTTGAATCCATTACACCTATTGCCGAACTGAACCGTTGACCCTAAAGTTGCGGAGATTTGAGTACACTTGCTTGCTCACGAAATGGGCACGGATGCGGCTCCCAAACCTAAGCCTGACGAAACAGACAAGAAAAAGGGAGATTTGAACAAGGATGATGAACTAGTAAGTTGTTTGTGTTCCTCTGCTCTATTCTTCAGTCCGAGGAAGATAAACAGTTGCAGGAGGAATTAAATATGTTGGTCGAGCGATTGGAGGAATCAGACGTCAGCTTGCACAAACCTGCATTGGAAAGCATGTGCAACCTGATCAAATCCTCGACAACCTCAATGACCTCTGTGCCAAAACCATTGAAATTCATGATGCCTCACTATTCAAAGCTTAAAGAAATATACGAGAAGATGTGTGACTCACCCACAAAGGTATAGGGACTGGTTTTTCCTTACATGTTTTCAGCGTCTTTGTGCGGATGTTGTTTCTGTCGTGGCAATGACTGTATCAGATAAGCCGGAATCACGCTTTGATACCTTAAATTATCGCTTGTTGGGCACCAGCAGTGAAATCGGTGCTTGGGGGCACGAATACGTTCGGCACTTAACGAGTCAGATTGTTTCCAGCTGGCAAGAGACAGATTTGGATGCATCTGGAGAACGTACAGAGGGTAAGTTGCACAATTTGTTAATAGCGCTCCAGACAATTTCACAGAACAGCGTGAACAGCACTTAAGTCTCGTCCATCTTATCTTACCCTATCTCATGGAGCACAATGCGGAATCAGAAGCGATCGACTTATGCATCGAGTTGGAAAAACTAGCTTTTTTGGAGACGTATACTTCCGCACTAAACTACCAACGGGTTTGTTTGTACCTCACAAGTTGCGTTGCGTACCTGCCGACACCAGACAACACTGAGGTAAGCACACAATTAACCACCGGTCGTCTCATTCTTTTTACTCATGCGCACTTGCATGACGCTTGGTCATAGGCATGAGAATGATCATGTTCAATAGTGGCCTCACTTAGGAGTCCATCGCCAACCTTTAGCTTCTAAACCGCATCGACTTGTTTACTGTGATAAATGTGCGCGAATCCGGAAACTGACCGGCTTAGCCAAAGCGTGGACAACATTTGGAATCAGTATACATTACCTTTATGAGATGCACCCAAGTAGTTGAGCATTTGTAAATCGTTTGATCTCACATTCAGGAGGATGAGACTCAGTGGGGTTGGAAGCCGGTAAAAATGATAGGAGCCACCCTGATTGTTTCCGGCCCACATTCCTCTCTTCTCACTGAATTAGTTGGTTGCCCAAGTTGTTGCTCAATGAATAAAAAAATAATCGCACAGATGTAGTACTCTTTCGGTACCTAGCTGTCATGTCACCGAGGTCAGGTGGTTTAGTGGTTTGAGGGCGAACTTGCCGACCGGGTGGTCCGTGATTCGAACACGACCTCTACCTCTCGACTTCCCCCGTCTAGGCTTGGATAACATGGCAGTACCGTAGCCCTCGTGCTTCCTTCGGGCGGCATGGCATTGAGGCACCGAAAGTATGCTGCGGTTATTTACCGTGCAAACAGTTGTGTATTCAGATGTCATTAGCAACTGCTAGATCTGTCGAAACGTTCGTAATTTGCAGACCATGTTTTTTTAACGTGACATGAAAGTGGCTACAGTCAAATAAACGTGAGATCTTCAAGGCCTTCAAGCACTGGTACACATTATCTTCATATGGGTGACTGGAAATCGCAAGGATATAACAATCCAATTTGGGATACTGACACTCCATGATCAGAATCTTAAGTGAATTTTGCCGTCTTGAGGCTTGTGTTGGACAAGGTGTACAAAAGTTACTGCATCCTGGATCTGCTGATTGGGTTTGAATGCCGCAATGAACTGTGGACTATGTTTTCTTGAATGCATTACAAACCATGCCTAGAAAGTCAAAGAGCAGCGACAAGACTGTACGGCGAGTCCTCAGGTGGTGGTTTAAATCTCATTATCTTCTGTGAGAGAAGCTTGGAGACAGTGAGGTGTGGTTGGCAGGAACACCGGTGCTTCACTGTGATACAACTATGTCAGTTGATACGAATGGAACCTATAATGGGAAGAGAGAAAATAGAACAGGGAAGCGGACCTAGAGCTAGCCTGTGACATCCAAACCCTGCAGCATTGACATCTTGGATAGAGATGTACAACGTGAACGCCACTGACATCGGTTAGCCGTCTTATCGTTCGGTATCTCCAGTCAGGCACAGGGGGTGGGTCACGTGAATCCTGTCCTTGAAAGCGAACAACAACACCCTATCTTTTCACAGCATTTTTCATCCCTCTTCTGCTGTGGCTGATCCTATCCTTCACTAGGTTTCCACTACGAATTAGGGACGGAAAATAGTCTTCTCCCAGGGCAGTAATTGGGCATTACCCAGCTAATTTAGTCCGCAGTGTTGGATGTATGTGGGCGAAGTACCGTCTGCCTAACGAAAGGCCTTTTTAAATCACCTTTTGAGTTCGTCCGTTCCATAGTTCAAAGACATCAGTCATATCGTCCGCCGAATCGACCAAATCTGTCAGCTGTACAATAATACGGCCCTACTGTAATCTGGTATGCCCCACCTTTGAGGCTGCAGTTTGGCGTCAGACGTACACCTTCCTGCTGTAGTTCATTTTGGTCATGAAGATGCGGAAACCGTCACACCGCGGGAAGGTCTAGTGTCTTCGTAGTGTCTTGGTTATTGTCGAGATACCTCGATGGATAAGGTACCAGCTTATAAACTGGAAGGTCCATGGTTCGAGCTCAATCTCAACATCTTGATTGCTCCTTTCCAAGCTTAAGCAAACTGATAGTATTCTAGTCCTCGTGTCGCCCTCCGTCAACGTGAAAGCTAAACACCTAAAGGGTGTTACGGCTGAACCGTTATCTTATCTTTGTCAATATAATGTCCCTCCCCGGGCGACTAGCATTTCCGTATTTACGGGAGTAGCGATACTGTCTTTTCGAAGGAGAGAGCGAAACCATGAAAGGTTCTCAAAACAGTGCCCTCATCGTGAGCGCCACTGACTTACGTAAAGCGGTCGTCTTCAGGTGGTCGACAGTCGCTGTCTCAGAACCATAGCTCGCGTGGGCTGGTGTCGGCGAATCCGTAACGAGGCAATAAGAAAGCGCATTTTCGGTTGTCCAACGGGTACTTCCATTGAAGAATGTGTCCAGCACCAGAAGCTGCGTTGGTTGGGACATGTGTTACGTATGCCGAACCATCGTTTGCCGAAGAGAGTGCTGTTTTCCATGCCCAACTCAGAGTGGCGTAAACAGAGAGGTGGNCAGATGTCATTAGCAACTGCTAGATCTGTCGAAACGTTCGTAATTTGCAGACCATGTTTTTTTAACGTGACATGAAAGTGGCTACAGTCAAATAAACGTGAGATCTTCAAGGCCTTCAAGCACTGGTACACATTATCTTCATATGGGTGACTGGAAATCGCAAGGATATAACAATCCAATTTGGGATACTGACACTCCATGATCAGAATCTTAAGTGAATTTTGCCGTCTTGAGGCTTGTGTTGGACAAGGTGTACAAAAGTTACTGCATCCTGGATCTGCTGATTGGGTTTGAATGCCGCAATGAACTGTGGACTATGTTTTCTTGAATGCATTACAAACCATGCCTAGAAAGTCAAAGAGCAGCGACAAGACTGTACGGCGAGTCCTCAGGTGGTGGTTTAAATCTCATTATCTTCTGTGAGAGAAGCTTGGAGACAGTGAGGTGTGGTTGGCAGGAACACCGGTGCTTCACTGTGATACAACTATGTCAGTTGATACGAATGGAACCTATAATGGGAAGAGAGAAAATAGAACAGGGAAGCGGACCTAGAGCTAGCCTGTGACATCCAAACCCTGCAGCATTGACATCTTGGATAGAGATGTACAACGTGAACGCCACTGACATCGGTTAGCCGTCTTATCGTTCGGTATCTCCAGTCAGGCACAGGGGGTGGGTCACGTGAATCCTGTCCTTGAAAGCGAACAACAACACCCTATCTTTTCACAGCATTTTTCATCCCTCTTCTGCTGTGGCTGATCCTATCCTTCACTAGGTTTCCACTACGAATTAGGGACGGAAAATAGTCTTCTCCCAGGGCAGTAATTGGGCATTACCCAGCTAATTTAGTCCGCAGTGTTGGATGTATGTGGGCGAAGTACCGTCTGCCTAACGAAAGGCCTTTTTAAATCACCTTTTGAGTTCGTCCGTTCCATAGTTCAAAGACATCAGTCATATCGTCCGCCGAATCGACCAAATCTGTCAGCTGTACAATAATATGGCCCTACTGTAATCTGGTATACCCCACCTTTGAGGCTGCAGTTTGGCGTCAGACGTACACCTTCCTGCTGTAGTTCATTTTGGTCATGAAGATGCGGAAACCGTCACACCGCGGGAAGGTCTAGTGTCTTCGTGACGCTATGGTTATTGTCGAGATACCTCGATGGATAAGGTACCAGCTTATAAACTGGAAGGTCCATGGTTCGAGCTCAATCTCAACTGCTGGCTGAAACCTTTCTAAGCTTAAGCAAACTGATAGTATTCTAGTCCACGTGTCGCCCTCCGTCAACGTGAAAGCTAAACACAGGGTGTTACGGCAAACAGGCAATGCTTGCTGAAACCTTTCTAAGCTTAAGCAAACTGATAGTATTCTAGTCCTCGTGTCGCCCTCCGTCAACGTGAAAGCTAAACACCTAAAGGGTGTTACGGCTGAACCGTTATCTTATCTTTGTCAATATAATGTCCCTCCCCGGGCGACTAGCATTTCCGTATTTACGGGAGTAGCGATACTGTCTTTTCGAAGGAGAGAGCGAAACCATGAAAGGTTCTCAAAACAGTGCCCTCATCGTGAGCGCCACTGACTTACCGAAAAATGTGTCCAACACCAGAAGGTTCGTTGGTTGAGACATGCGTTGTATGTGCCGAACCACCATTTTCCGAAGACAGTAATGTTTCCCATGCCCAACTCAAAGCGGCGGAAGCACATAGCTGGTCTACCCTTGATCTAGCAGAGTGGTATGAAAGAAATTACGAAATTTCTTTGCTGTCGGTGCTACTCGCCTTCCAGGATGGGGACCGCGTGATCCTCACTGTGCCTGGTTGGAGACACTACAAGATATGGCTGCCAACCGATGTCAGTGGCGTTCTTGTTGTCAGTTTCTGTCCAGATTGCCTGAGTGAATGTCTGGAGGTGTAGGCACCTCGGAATGATTGTGTTAAGCTAGCACTACGTCCCTCCCCCATCCACCTTTATTCTTTTCTTTACAATAAGGCTTTCAAATCAGTCATGGTTGTATGGCAGTGAAGCATCGGTGTTGAACACTGATGTCTCGCTGTCGATGATGATGATGGTGATGACGTAAACCGGTCGAAGAAATAGGCGGTGCTCTGCAAGGGCGTTTGTTTTGGTTGTCAGCTTCAGGATTGCCCTGCGTTAATCCTCGCTATTTTAGACTAAGCAAACCCTCTACTGCTAAGTGGGTCAGACTGTTGGATCGTTAGCTTCTATTAGTCTCCTTGCAAGATTCTTTGCCTCACAGATCAAAGGGTATCAGTAGGGCCACGGTACACTGCAGTCTGGCGAAATGACATTGTGCAATCTATAGCAACCTTACTCAATTCGTCATCCTTGATCACCAGCTGTAAAAACCTCAGTTCTCACACAGTGGTTATAGGTGCCACCGTTTCGTTCGCGGATGATTTGGGAAGGCTGGGTAGATAGCTGCTCACTGGAGGTGGTATGTGATATAATCAATGCCTAACCACAGGTATGTCAGTGAACTTTTCATTGGCGAGATTGGGAGGGGAGCTTTGCATTGAGGGAAATAGCTTGGATGGCGTAAACAAACAGGTAGCCAACTCTGAGTTGGGCAAGG